GAAGGCCTGACTGAGCACCATGGGGGTATTCAGCTTTAGAGACTTTAATAGATTGTAATAAATGTATTTGTAAATTTACGGGAAAAAATTGTTTTACAGTTCATATCACTGTCTAATATAGTTTGAATATGGAAATACTTCAAAGGTTATTTCTTGAGGGCATAATTAAGTGTACCATAGAACGTTGAAAACAAATTTTAATCCAATGTAGAGGGAACTTGTTTTTGCTTTTCCTAAATGGAGGTGAATTCACCCCACCACCCACTCGTCCGTAAGTTTATACAAGTAAAACTGCGAAGTTTGTTTACCGCATACATCGGTAGGCCAAACTTTTCAACGAGAAGTAGGCAGTGAAGAATTTCGCTCCTCGCGTTTTTCACCACGCCAATTTTACCCCTTCTTCCCTCTGACTTTTGAACGCTTGCCGTGCAGGCAACAGTTTCGGAGCACGTGAGAAATTTTTTTAAGCAAAAGTTGACTTCCTTTACTAACATATTGAATAACTAATGAATATAATTTAAAACAAACCAAATTAAATGCGGCCTTTATTTTTTCCTAGGTCTAGGTTTGTCATTCCCAACTGATCTCATAGAAAAGATCCGTCAGCTCTACAAAACACGTGAACGACGCCTTCTGCCCGTCCCTTGGTTGGACGAGTTTAGCTTTCATATCAATGATATTTTTACCAGATTAAAAATCTTGGGCAAAGAAAAAACGCAAGGAGTACTTACTGACGATATAACCAATATGACTGCCATCTTTAATGCCCACGCAGAATGCCAAAGGCCGCGAACAGTCTTGATCGAAGGAGACCCGGGTATGGGAAAAACCACTTATTGTCAAAAGCTGGCGTACGATTGGGCAACTAAGCAAGACAAATGGGACCCGTCTTTTCCAGAGATTGAAGTGTTACTGCTTCTCAAATGTCACGAAATTAAATCTGACATCTGGGAAGCTATTGATGATCAAATTCTCCCCGAGGAAATGGACACTCAAGCTAAGGAATGCTTCTTTAGATTCATTCGTGAAAATCAGTCCAAGGTTCTATTAGTTCTCGATGGACTAGACGAAGCGGATACTAGTAACCTCAAAATGTTCCTTAACCTCATTGAAAGGAAAGAACTCTCAGGTTGTTACATTGTTCTCACCTCTCGTCATGAGGCTGGAAGGAATGCAAGGCGATACTGTGACACTCTGTGGGAGATTGTAGGATTTACCCAGGAAGATGCAGAAAGCTTTATTCATAAATACTTTAAAAACGTTAGAAAGGAGCATTTGGCCATGAAGCTTATAGAAATGGTATGGCCAGACGTCCGGTTGTTGGAGTCAGGACAAGCTGAAGATCTGCGCGATTTGACAAAAAATCCTTTAAACACTTCTTTACTTTGTGTTATCTGGGAGGATTTAAAGGGCGTGCTTCTAACGAGCAGAACTGAATTGTACATTGACATTGTTCTTTTTGTTTTGGAAAGATATGAACAAAAGCAAGGACTATCGAGCGAGAATGAAGACCTCTGGTCCGTCTACAATAAAGACTTGAAATATCTCGGAAGAATGGCGTTGGAGTCTCTTCAAAACGGAGAATTGTATTTTGAAGAACATAAATCAGGTGGTCGCTGCATCGTCTTATCCAAGATCGGATTCCTTTCACTTCAGCCTGCTGTCAGTAAGAGGAGAGTTCGTACGCGTTACGCGTTTCTTCATAAAAGCTTTCAAGAATTCTTTTCTGGTTTCTTTCTTGCTTGCCAACTTATTGAAGGCGAAATTAGCTGCGAGTCAGTAGTGAAAGACCAAAGATATGTGCGTAAACTATATCAAGTATTTGCATTCTTGATTGGGATACTAGTGTCCAAAAGTAAGAAAACGGCAGAATCTCTCGTTAAAAGCATGGCTGCAAATATCAATTTCACAAGTCTAAAGTTAGTCAAATTCGAAGCTACAGACTTTTCAAGACGTGTATTATTTGCTGTACGTAGCTTATCGGAGCACGCAAGTTCACTTGAAACCTTAGGGGAGCACCTTAACCTTGCTCAATTAAATTTGAAGAACAGTCCGATTGGCGAATCTGGTGCTGCATCTCTTTCCCAGGCTCTTGCAGTCAACTCCTCCTTAACTGCGCTGGATTTGAGTGGGCACGGCATTCGTGAGTCTGGTGCTGCATCACTTTCCCAGGCTCTTGCAGTCAACTCCTCCTTAACTGAGCTGGATTTGAGTAGGAACAACATTCGTAAGTCTGGTGC